TATATATATATATAAATATGTCCCGGTTTGATCCAACTATAAATTCCCTGTAAGCAATTTGCTAAGCTCGGAAAGAGATCAACAGGCACCCGAAATACAGCCGATTAACTGAGCCAAGCTACCAATCTTCCAATTTCACACTTTAGCAATCTTTAAAACTGTCCCCTACTTCTGAGAGTCGCTCCGTCAAAGGTTCCGCGTCACGAATAATCAATAAAGGAACTCCTTAAAAAACAGGTCTCTTACACGCCGCTTATGGATGCTTTTTATGGAAAGAAAATACCGAAATCTAACAAGATCTCTTGATACAGCAGGTGACAAAATTACATGGCTCGACAAGTGATTTCATCATCTGAATTGTACACCGCTTCTCAGTGTAGAGTAAGTACCATTGGAGAAGGATTGTTAAAAAGCTAAAAAGATGTGTGGCGAAACGTCAAAGAAGTATGATCGTGCGTAGCTCAGGCTTCAAAGCAGTACCTCTGCGTATTTCTATATAGTGGCTACACTATTTTTGAATAGAAGCGTATAAGCCACTTCCCATTGGTGTGTACATGATGATGGTCTCACGTCCCTGCGACCTACTCAGAGATTACTCAGATTACTCAGAGACATACTCCTCCACATTTGAGATCGCTTCCATTTCTCGCCAGTCTGAAGGACGGATTCTCAATACAGTATATCAGATAAGTCTTCCTTGGTCTTGAGGTCAGTTTTATTGAAGATCCCTCAAAATCAAATGATAACAAAACATGTTTAGTCTGTTCTGAGGCTCAGTATGTAGACGTAGCCTTCGGAATCTGAGTAACCATTCAGAGAACGTCCGGCAACTGCGCTATTAACAATACTCTGTGGGTTTTCATCCTATAAAGTGCTGTGTAACCACTCATTTGCAGTCATGGAATTGGTAAAAAATTTTCATTGGGGTTGGGTGGATCTAGAATTTGTTGACTTGGATTTTATTCCGCTGGGAAATGTGGTAATTTTGAATATCGCGAGGGAGATTCACAGTTTCAATTTTTCTGGCAGAGACACTCAAGTATTCATAAATCCCCTTACGGTTATCTCGTTACCAGTTGTTGTCTTTCGTCTACGGATTAAGGACTACCATGCTTTCAGATTTCAGGTGCCTCACTCCATACACAAAGATATGTGGACCATTCGATAATTTCCATGGGGGTTCCCAGCTCCGTCTGTTTTATTGATAATGTATCGCTGTTTGACCTCATGAAATTTCATCACAAATTATGATAAAATGGACCGTTCTGAGCTATTTCCTTCGACGTGCCTATGCTAACAGATTCAACGGTGCAGTCTAAGGGTCTGCACAGGCCTCCGTATGCAGTTATCTCTTTTCGCTCACAATACCACTTGAGTGAATTCACTGTTTTTGAGTCTTAATAATCGATAGCAATCCATCATATGGTTGCTTAATAAAGAGTAGTTAACATACCATTCGTTTCAAGCTTGATGGGGCCATTCAGTACCTTTTGTGCTACTTTTTTGACAACTGGTTCACTTGACCTTGTCTTTAGCCGTTTCTTCGCAAATTCCACAAAGTCCTATTAAATGACGCTCTAACTGACTTGACACCGCATACTTGAGGCTAGGTTACTGTTGAAACATCAAACAAAATCAGGTCACTTGCACGCTGGTTACATCTTGATCAAGTGAAATATGAAGTCACGATAACTGCTGACAAATGTTTTAGTTAAGGGAGTTAGCCATTCGAAGTGATTTTTGTTATATTTAGTCGACGGTCCTGAACGCTTACGAAGCATATGAGGATCTTCTCGATAGCTTCAAATTAAAACCATATTCACAGTTCGAATAAGAAACACGCTAGCAGGAAAGTGACGAATCATTTAAAATCTGTTCCCAGTTGTGACTCAACTCTCAGGTGGTTCCGTTTATTCCAAATCCTCGTTTCACGTCACCTGTGAGACGATCGCCCCACAGCAAATGTACACGAAAACGTCAAGCCTTCCTTTCTGAAACACAATGAAGTGAGTGTTTTTTTCAGCTGGGTATTGTTAATGACATTCGGTCACTTGATTGTCAGGTGGCCATTCGTCGCTGTAATCGGCTTACTAATTGACTAGCAAACATTGTGTCACTGAAACAGGAAACATCAATGCATAGTTGGGTGGGTAAGTCCCCCTCGCTTCCTTGCGTTTGAAGAGTAGCTGTCATCTGTCTACCTAACTGGCTAATTGGAAGACAACGTTCCCGTGACTCCAATGGTCCACATATGGTCTACTCAGCGTTGTGGTCTGTCTTCCGTTGATTTGACCGGTTATCCCGATGTCAATTCCTAGTGGTTTTGTGGCCTTGATTTGATTGGTCCGTTCTCCCTATGCACTGCGTCGTGGTTTAATCTCGTCTGGAGCAGTTGTTTAACTACGCCGTTCTATTTGGTCAGTTGTAATGACCGGAGTCGGCGGATCAATTGTGTCGCCTGATTTATTGGTTGGGCACCTACTCCAGTCAAGCTGTTTATCCGTTTGAACCAGGGTCTTCCGCATCTTCTATAAGCTTTGAGGTCTATAGTTCTTATTGACCGACAAATTTCGATACGATTGTTGATCATTTCTTTGGAGGAGTACCATGATTTCATAAACCCCTGTTCTTCTTTCTTCCTTGAGAAGGTATGCGGTGCCATTCCAGTCAAACTCGTGTCTTTCCTTATTTTTGGGGATGAAAATGATAGAAAACTGACCGTCTATTTTACCAGCAAGTGAAGGGCTTCCCTTTCGAATGTTCTGTTTGACGTTTGTAGCAGTCATTGTGTTAGATCCTGCATATGTCATTGTCCCTCATTATCAACCCAGTTTTCTTTTGGTTTTGACAGCGTCCTCCACAAGCTGTCCACAGGTTTGTAGGTGGCTGTCGTATTATGTTATTGTACGAGCTTTGCAGTCATTTAAGTGGAGTTCTTGATTTACGGAAATGTGATATATTTTCTTCAGATTTGCAATACTTTGGTACTCGTACTTATGTTCCTGAGCAACATGCTCGTAAAACTTCTTGCTCATCCCTTACCCTTGAAAACCTTCAATGGGCGTTTTCCCAGTTAATCTTGAATTATACAATCTTCTGGTATGTCTCAGTCTGCGTAAAAGGTGTCCTAATGCAGCTTCGTTTGTGGCGCTTGGGATGGCTGCTTAGGTAGTTCAAGTTTGGTCTACATGCATGAATTTTCTGTAGACTCCGGTTTGTAGCTGTTCATTTGGCAATCTAGTGATGGGGACGTCCATAAATACCCGTTTTCCGTTGTTATATTCTTCCGTTTTGAAGTGTATATTGTCAAAAACCTTGTTCAGTTGTTCACTCACTTGGTGCACTTCTTTCGTTTTGATGAATAAAAAATTACCACAAATGTGGCGGATCCAGGATTTATATCGGGGCAATAAAATACGTTCCAGCTACTGCAACATGATTTCTGAAATGAATCCTAAATTTGACAACCTCATTGGTGTTCATTGTAGTCGATCGCAATATTCCCTAATGAACTCGATTCGTGTTGTCAAACATAAGTCGAGAAATTGGGAGAAATCTTTCCCGAGCCAGTCGGTTCACTCGCTGCCGCTATTAAAATAATTCGAACATGGTTGTCATGGCAGATTTTAGATCTGAATTGCCAACAATAAGCTCATATTGTATCACCCTGAGTGATGTTTATACTCTTCATTTTCTCCAAAATCTTCTGAGGCCCAGGGCTTAAAAATGAGCGGCTTTTCATACATGCATGTACAGACAGTGTAGTTCGCGACCAGGCTCCAAAAATTTGCGAGGTTTATACAATGCTCCATGCTTTTTTTTAACTCAGTGTTTGGAAGCACATGAAGACCGTCACTTTTCATACACTCATGAGCATTCTACTTGCTGTTTCCATCAGCATGGTTCCCCGTGAGTACCATACCCCTGTGCTGCCATTCAGCCATCAAGTCTGGTGGGAAGACTTAAAATCAATATGTCACAGCGGTTCACTGGAACTCTGCGCATCTTGCGTATCAGCTAATCATCAACAAACGACAATCTCTGAGGAAAACGCCAAGTAAACTATTTTGGGTATGCATTTTTCAATATCTGATGACGCAACTGCCATCGAGCTTATGGTAGATCATTTCCTATCTATGAACACTGTTCATAAACACTAAGACAGTCCAGTCATGGTGAGTGTTTACTCGCGGTTGTCGGACTCTAAAGACTGTCCTTTAGGATTCATCTCTCTTAATTACTGTTTTGGCAAGCTGATTGATTTTCCCCCGAGAGTGGATCCGTCACTCTAAAACCGTCCCTTACTCGTGACAGCCTTTTTCATGTGAACAGAGACCACCATTTAAGTGAATTCAGACTGAAGTGTTATGCAGACTAGTCCGTGCGAAATTCGCTTCTTGATAGAATTCTTTGGATATGGCGAG